AGCGCCCCTGTCCCCCGCGGCCCCAGTGCTGTGTCCCCGCAGCCACCTGGCGCACGCCGCTGAAGGTCAAGCAGACGCTGCTGCTGCCCTTCCTGCGCCCCGGGCACCCCCCCCGCCTGGTGCCTACCATGACCAGCAAGAAGTACCCGGTGGCCTCCTTCACTGACCCCCACCTGCAGGTCCAGGTACGCTCCCCCAGCCGGGACCTGGCTGCCTGGCACTGGGGGCATGCTGTGACATCACTGCCAGGGCACTTGGAAAGGATGCCAGGCTGTGACGTCATTCCCCTGGCACAGGAGGGAGGTTGTTGGGCTGTGAGGTCACTGCAGGAGCACTGAGGGGGTGCCAGGCTGTGATGTCACTCACCTGGCACTGAGGGGGTGCCAGGCCGTGATGTCACTCCCCTGGCACTGGGGGGGGTTGCTGGGCTGTGAGGTTGGACGTGGTGACCCTGGTCCATGACATGGGTAAGGCCACCAACCCCACCCCACCCCAGGGCCTGCCCGTGACATCACTTCTTGGGCTGGGTGGGCTAGGGGTGATGTGTAATGATGTCACTCCCTGCAGGACATCACTGGTCCCTATGCAGGTCCTTTTCCCCAGTGTCCCCTGGTGTCCCCATGCTGTTGGTGTCCACAGGGTCCCCCAGTATCTGCATGTCCCCAGTGCCCCTGACGTGCCCCACTGCCCCCATCATGTCCCCCTTGTCCCCAGTGGCCCCTATTACCCCTGCAGTCTGTGGTGTCCCCAGTGGTCCCAGTATTCCCCATCTCCCTGGTGTCCCCCACATCCCTTAGTCTCCACCAGCACCCCCCAGTGCCCGCTCGCCCCTGATGTCTCCGGTGTCCCCAGTGTGCCCCTCCTGTCCCCCACATCCCTGGTGTCCCCAAGGCCCCTCAGTGCTCCCCCCATGCCCCTAGTGCCCCTTCTGCACCTGTATCCCCATTGTCCCCAGTGTCCGTCCCTGTGGGGGTGGCACTGAGGACGGGTGCTGCAGACTATGGGCTGTTCCTGGATGCGGAACTGTGCGGGCTGGCAGAGGGCCCAGCGGTGGCGGTGGACACGGCACGGCACCGGGCCGCGCTGGTGCTGGACGAGGCC